GAGCACTTGATAAGGTGACAAATATGAAAATATTGCTTGGAGCATTTTGTCCGGTAGTTTTTCGATTGTCTGCAAAAGATCCAGCGATAATAGTTGAACATGAAAATGACAATTAAGTTTCATCCTTTTAATTAGAAATTCAACTGTCATGATGACTACAAATAAAAAATTAATAGTATGCACTGCTGTTAGTAAACTCCTGTAAATTAATTTCCATAATGTCCTCGTCATCTTGCACTGCGAGCTTGGCAAGCGCTCTTCACCCTACAACAATTCGCCAGAATAATTTCTGGATACTGTCAAAAAAGCAAAGTAGTTGATAGGATATGAAAGACTACAGTTAACTAACTCTACATAGACAATTACGACAATAATAATTGCGCCTATAGACTTTGATTTTTCCCACAAATTGTTGGTATATGAAGTTTCAGTTAAAAAAAAAGAATTAAACATTGATAAATGTGATACCACAGTAATGACTAACAACGACATTGTCTAATGAAACTGTCGGCAATTCGTCTTCCTCCATTTTTTTGGTGTAGCTATCAATTTGATGTTTTGTTAAGCGACGAGTCATGTCGTAGAGGGCCGCCATTTTTCACTATTTCGATTTTAGTAATAATGCCATAAAATTATGCATTGCATTTAATCAACTGATAACAAGTTTGGGTGACACATTCTATATAAAGACACATTTTAACGCTAACCCGGTAAATGGTATCACGCTCTAATTGTAAGATTTGATGAGTGACAACACAGTAAATTTGTGTCACACTTTGCCTATACATTTCCTCACAAAATGTTCTCTTGGAAAGAGAAAAAATAATTCAGAATAAAATGATGTTGAATGAAAAAAGGTATGCAGATAATAAATAAATGAAACGATCTGGTAGTAACGTGTATCGGAATAGTGTCCAAAGCAAATCATTTATAGAAATAGGTTAGCTCTCGCCAATTGCGCTTAATGAATTATTTCCTTAGCTTTCATTTTCTAATAGGGAAAAGCTTTTGCTTAAAATTATTGCGCAAAAAAAATAGAGCTCATTTTAACGTTTAAATGATTTCTACTAATGTTCTTTAATATCCATCAACAATATTCACGATAAGTAACGAATAAATGATTGATGGGAAGAAAATGAGGATAATTGCGCTAATAAATTGCAATGTAAAAAAAAAAAAAAAATAAGAAAGAATAGAATGGGAAAAAAAAAAATTTATGGCAAAAAAAATGTTCATCCTACATCGATTACTCAAATGACGATGAATGAATTTTTACTAATTTTAAAAGAATGATCTTCAAGTATAAAAACGAAAAAAAACTAGAAAGAGAAAAATCATTGCAGAATATGTGAAAGTATAATAAATGCTAAATGCCAGACGGAGTAGTGGTTGTATGTAGTAGACACATACACACATACACACGCACACATACACACACACACATACACACATATATATATATATATATATATATGTATATATATACTGATGTTGTTGATGATAGGATAGGATAGCAAGCTTGTTAGTACGAGGAGTAACAGAATAAGCTGGAAAATATTAAGCAGTTGAAAGCAGCAGTCTATCAACCATTTCTAGTTCGCGTACCTTCCTCTCATGTACTTCCATTAGCAAAATAGCTTTAAATTTCAAACTCTTCACATTTTCTCCCTCTTTCCCCTGCATATTATATTATATCATATCACTACACTATTCGTCTTAATCATAATATGAAGCAGAACGTTGATCACTTCATCCAGGATGGGATCAATCATATCACGCTGATATTCGGATAAGGATAAAAGTTATCATTATCAATATATCTGGATTACACATATCCCGAAACATTACAAACATTTGATTCAAAAATTTATCAAATTTCTTACTTAAATAATTATTTCTATCAATTCTGATTGTAGTACTAATATTTTCGTTGAGTTTTTTTAACTTATCCGTATAAATAAAAAATAGATGGAAAATATAAATATGAATCAGTTGAAGTTTACAATAAAGTGGAAGCAATGCTGTACTTTTAACAGCAGATACAACTTTTTTTTGGTTCACTTGGCATAATTCACAACGATCATCTTCTCTATCATAGTCACAATCATATCATGGATTTTGTAACTGATCCATAAATGTTCACTCAAGAAAAAAGAAAAAAAAAGAAAGAAAAAGAGCAAGAGAAAAGTTTCAATCAGTAACGACTAGTGAAAGTTAAGAGAATAAGCAAATATGAAATTATTGAATGATTTTTAGTAGCTTCGAAGAAAACAAGTTACAACATTATTTACTTTTATAAAATTCGTTATTCCTTTGTTCCATAAGTCAATTTTTTTTCTTTCGACAATCGATAAGATTTAAGAAACATTGCAAGCTGATTTCTTTGAGGACGTCTGAATATGATAAAATGATGAAAGTCAGCAATGTAAAGTATTGCGTAAAATATTGATTTAAATGTGTTTAACAACGAATATCCAGGAACTTAACCAAATTACAATTCATACGATCGTTATCAAATGAGAAAGACATTGTGTAATATCGAAGTTGTCACTACCTCAAGCTTTTTCACTACTTACAGTCATTTGCAATAAAAATCCGCTTATTGATGGCTGAAAACTGACTTGGGGCCTAATTAGACATTTGTTAATCTGTTTTATCTTGCATATTAATGAATTAGAACAATTGAATTAATCATTTCTACTCCAATTTTATGAAATCCAAACTAATTTAGTTTTGCATTTGACAGAAATATTTACTAAACTAAGCAAAAATTTTTTCCACTTCATTGTTTTATGATTTTACAGCAATGGTGCTTCGAAAATACCGCATTATGGAAGAGTTACAGTGATTGTAACTTCAAACTTACGTATTTTTATGAAACTTTTGAAATTTCAAACTAATTTTTGCTGTCAACTAAAAATTTGATCAAGAGATTGTTGACGTATTCACAGCACAATGCTTTCGTTTTTAAAAATTTACATATTTAAGGATGAAGTGACAACTTACTACTTGTGAAACAGCCGTCACAGCAATATTAGAAGCCACATTTCGTCGATTCATTTTGTAGACGAACAAGCAGCTGAGATATTACTTCCTGGAAGTGGGCGATAGGATGGAATGTGGAAGAAAAATGTTGAATTTTTCGCTTAGCAACAATCATTTAATCCAATAATTGAATTGCTGAATTCTGGTAGAAGTTCTGGTAATTCTGGTGGAGCCATTTTAAATGCAATTTTTAATGGAATATAGAAGTTAAATTGTGGAATTCTGTAAAATGCGAATGGTAAGTAAGCGCCATGAAATGTGAAAATTGGTGAATTTATGCTGGGAATCGGGATAAATATCAGAAAAATAGAGATCGACGATGTTTGCCGACTGATGAATCATTTTGGTTATGCAACTGAAAATGATTCATTAACAGACAAGGAAAAAGAGGAAGAGAGAAGGTAATACTGGTTGGCAAAAAGGTAAAATTGAAGAATATTAAAACTGATCTACGCTGTTTTGATATATATAAAAGAAACCAAAAAGAAATGCGACATGCTATAGATCGAAATATTTGTAAATTAAACTGGTAGATATATAAAGATCAGCAATTCATAGTCTAAGCAAGTGAGAAGACAAAGTTTGAATTCATTTCGAGTTTTTTTTCTTCGCTTTTTTAATGCTATTGCACCATCATCTACTGTGTAACACCTTCAATATTGAGTTTACATACACATACATATATACATACACACACACACACACACATACATACACACACACACACACATACATACATACACACACACACACATACATACATACACACACACATACATACACACACATACAAAGATATGCCTTACTATTCGAGGATAGTTTAAAATAAATTGAAAAGTGAGATGGGGAATTTCTTTTTTTTTGGAAAAAGCTCAGAAGCAAAATTGAGTGGCGACGATTGTTCAGTCGCAGCGATACATCTCATTACCAATCGATCCAGTGATGGTACAAATCTACATTTTTTACTTTTGGAAAAAAGAAATTCTCGGAAGACATATTCCAAATGAGACGATTTGTGGCTTAGGCCAAGTTATGGCTAAAACGTATAATGGCTTAAATTTATAAATGATGAATGCGAGCAATTAAAAATAATTTTAAATGTAAGAAGAAGCTTAGCTATTTTACGCATTATAGATGTGAGACTTGAGCAACGGGTGGTAACCTTAATTTATTATAATATGATCATCAAATCACTCTTTCTAGCTAGCAGCAATCAATCCTGTTTATTTTCTTCAATTTCTTTTAGGATGAAAGGAAGCCGATATTTAATACTTATCTATTTTCAATCAGCTGTGTAATACCTAAAAGCTAGTAAAACGAATAATGCTCGGTTGAACATTAAATTTGCTAGAAAAATTATTTCAGAAAAAAAAAAACAAAAACAGGAAAAAATCTGATAATAAATTATATCTACGACCGAAAATATATAGATAGCAATCTTCCGCTGTACTCTCCCCTATGAAATTTAACCTGTGCATTACATCGCGATATGGAAATGATTATGATTAAATTCATCAAGGAAAAGCGGGAATACTTCTAGATGCTTCAAGAGATTGAAAAAAGCACTGCTACATACTGATCTACTAAAGCGAGGCATTCTGAATTATCTGGAGCTTAAATCAAATAATGTTTAAATGAGAATAATGTCACAACTCGTATTGTATAATATTCATCAGGTGGTCAGTAATTATTGACCAAACAGTGTCAGTGATAGAGTTGATGTAATTGATTTAACCAACCACTATATGATTATTTATAATGAATCAATAATTACCTATCATTTAGCTGTTATCTCGTATATTATCAATGCTTTGATCAATAATAATAATAATCGCCAATAATGTTAGGGAAATTAAATGTCCAAATAAATTAACTAACTAACTAAATGTTCACTGACATAGTAGAACGAAATTTATTGAATGTGAAAGAAAAACTTCCAATTATTAGGATCATTTTCAATGAAATTCAAATTTAGAATAATATTTAACATTAAATAAACTAACAAACGTCCTCGCCATAGTTAGAGCCCAATTCATTCGTCCAATTGCTCTCATCTTTGCATAAATTTGCTTCTTTTTCTTTTTCAATCCTTCAGTACCATAAAAATGTTTCACCTGTCCTTCATCTTGCTTCTCATCCTGCAATTTATTTCTGTTCCAAACAAAATTTTCACTTTTTCTCTTCGTTTTTATCTAGCAAATGCATAATTATTAAAATTAGGTCTGTTGCATTTATTATGTTTCAATCCTCAAATTAGGAACTTAGAAAAAGTAAAGTAGCTAAAAATTTGCTAGAAAATTTCGAATATCACGGTCAATTTTATTAGCTTACAAAAAACTCGCAACTTTTTCATGCTAAGTAATCCTTCAGCGTAAGGCATGTTTTTTTGAAACTACTATTAGGGGAATAAATTTTCAAGTTTTAAAAACTTCAAAATTTTTCCTATTTACGTTCGCGCCATTTGAACTAACAGGAAATTGAAGTTAGTGGTCAGAAGAACGATAATGTAAATTTACTCCAGAAACCGGATTTTCGGTCTTCTAAAGCTTGCCGGATCACTACAAAACTGCAAAACTGAATTTAATGAAAAAATTTACGGAAAGCCTATAATGTTATGCGAAATGTTTTGCTTGTTTGCGTGTTTCTATCATCCATCCACTAATAAATTTAAAATTTTAGGAACTGAAGTAATTTTAGAAAAAATTAAAAACATTTGACAGAACATTTTCATTAAATATGACGAAAAAACCTCAAATTTCATTTCATCTGCACTCTTTTCGCTTACTTTTTTTTGAACAGTGAATAGAAAACTTGAAATACTAATTGTCTAACAAATAAGGAAAGCTTTACTTACTTGCCATTCATTCGCGCGATTAGTCACTTCCAACATTGTCGTTTTAATTAATTTCATCGAATAGCAACCATTTCAATTGAATGAAAGCTTTAGCTCTTCATCGCATTAATGAAGTGATTGACAGAACTGTAAAAGTAAAATAAGAAGTATATAGTTCGCGAGAATGACAGGTAATGTGAAGAAATTCTTAAATCAGATAGAATGCTCTTTTTTTTTCTTTTTTTTTCTTTTCAATACAAAATAACGAATAATACATTTGACATGATTATATTCCCTAAGTAATTGATACATGTGGCTTCATAAATTATAATTAGAAATTATATGTTAAAAAAAGTTTTTTAGGGTGAAAATAAATTTTGGCTTGAATTGACCTGGAAAAGAGTTGAAAATTCAAGGAAATTTGAATGCTGTTTGTAATGGACTGCGGAAAAGTATTAGAAAAAAATGGCTTTACAGGGGATACTACAAAATGGTATACCGAACACTAAAGCTCGAGTGGTTGTTATTGAAAGCAATCGCAATATTAAAGTGCAGAAAACGAATCCTCATGTGTCACCTTTCAGTGTATGGAGGTTCAAAATATTTTCAAATGCTTGCACTTTCTTTTTTTAAGGTGTCTTCAAGTAGAGCTCAAAAAGCTTTACAAATTTTGAACAAAATTTATCAGCCGTTTGAAATGCATTATTTTTGAGCTTCTCTTAAAATGCTGATCGATTTTGACTTTATTATGCAAAAAATTTAAGAACAAAGTCAGAACAAGCTTCAGTACTGATTTCCAGCATTTATAATAACCGAATTTAAGTATTTCAAATTTAACCTGCAAAGTTCTTGAAATCTTTCGAAATTAAATTCTACTTTTATGGTTTTAAATTTTCAATTCCTGACTTCTTGCCAATAATCCTACTTTATCTCTTCATTGTAATATAGATATGATTGAAAGGTTTTAATACACGAAAATTTGAAACTTTGAGCAAGTCTGGAGAACAGTATTATACGTGAAGCATCAAATATTTGATGATAGGAAACATTTTTAAAAAAAATCAAAGTAGCAAGTGTGAGCGCAACTCATGAGTTAGTTCATCATATAGCATTTCATTTCTGGTCGGTAGTATCTGTGAGTAAAAAAAAATTTTAAATATTAAATTAACAATGCTCAATGCTAACTTCATGTTGTTAATTTTTATCTTCAGCGGTATCATAATCAAATCTTACACGAAAATGTACTTTTATATTCTCAATTAATCTGTGATCAATCTATAGATTTTGTCGTTCAGTATTTTCATCTTTTTCGAAGTAAAAATATCTTAATTATTCAAATTATTATCTTCAATTTAATTTCACTTCCAACCATATGATTGGCATGAATTATTATACTTTCACACACTGCTGCTTCATATCGAATGACAGAATGAGTTTTATTTAAAAAATATCATCAGCGATTTTTTTCTAACCGTTGCAGAGAATTGCATAATGCAAAAATTTTTAATAAGTGCATTTTGGTAAAACCATAATCATTTGTAGAAAATACACGACCAATTAAAATTGATGATACCTTTCAAAAAATTGAATTTTAGGAATTTCACAGTTGACAACTATCACGTCAAAAAAAAAGGTGAAATAAAACTGTTTTGTCAAGTTTTACCAAATTGGTGTAAACCAAAAATGAAAAAAAAGGAAAAAATGATACACTGTTGTTCATTCCTGATTGTGATGAACAAAAAATGAGCAGCTAGCGCTATTAAATTAATCGTTTTCATTTTTCCTTTTCAACTTAACAGAAGTAATTAAAAATCTAAGAATGTAGCGTCATTACTAATATGAATATTACCTTAATTAATTAATGTCGTATTATTTGCTAATTTGAACAATTTTAGCATAGTGTAAAGTACCACACAACAAAACATCAAACATTAACTATCATTTCAGGTATTAGTGGAACAATGTTGAAATATTTGATGTAACAAACTAAGTGCTCAAAGCCATCAAAAAAAAAACACTTTTACAATGTGTTTATTTGCTTTGACCTATAAGTTTAAAATCAAACTGGAAGATTAAAAATTGATCAAACTATTGTCTTCAGTTGACTTTTTCTTCGTCCTCATCATAGCACTTGAAAATTGAAGAAATAAATTACAAAAAGTCGAAGAAAAAAAATCACAGCAGTCGGTATATAAAAAGTTTCAAGACTTTGTTGGCCAGAATATGCAACTTACTATAACATACAACTTACTGCAACTTCATAATAACTTATGAGATTTATATGACTTAGGAAATATAATTTACTCTAACTTATATAACTCACTCTTCCTTTAAATTTTTCAATTTGATTTATAATAAAGGAAAACGTTATTTTGGTTTTTTTCGTATCTCAAATTAAAAAGAGTCATACAATTTGAATATAACATACCCTTCCTTTAATTTTCTTAACCTGACAATGCAAATTCTATGGGTTATAGTAATAGATTATAAGATAGCATAAAATTCTTTCCAGTCATTCCTTTTACATTTTTTTATTTCCGCTTTTATTTCTTATTCTTTTAATGAATGTTTATTTTTAATTCATAACAAAGGAGGAAATAGCAAAACGTTTAGAGGAAATTATCATAAATTTCTTAAATGATGGTTATATCATAGAATCATCAACCACCTTAATCAACCATCACAACAATTAAGAAAAGTTATTGCAGAACTTTTAGGTTAACACTAAATATTTCATTGTAGCTTTATTCAAATAACATATTTTTATAAGGACTGTACTATTTTTACGGCCATGCTTTATTTGTTAAAAGCTATTTTCGCTTATTCATTTTGTAGTTGTTACAATGATAATCATCAGGAATTGCTACTGTGAAGTACAGTCAGTTTTCATCAGATACTGTTTGAAATCTCTTTCCCTTTAGTTGATAGAAATTCACTTGACGGGATAATTGAACTTTCCGCGGGAAAGTAAATGTGAAGGGAAAATCATCACAAAAATCAGTTTTCTTTTCCACAGTTAAAAAAAAAGAAAACATCGGAAGAAGATGGAGTGAACGGATGTATGGAACAGATAAGTTGTGTAAACAGGACAAGGATAGTACGCAGGGAAATGCATTTTGTTGAATGTTTGTGACACACCCGTGGAGTTGTTGGAAAATGGATTAAGAACGGGTCTGTTACTATGGACGTGTATTGATGCAATAACGTTATTTGTTGAAAATGCGATCAGAATGATACGGACAAACGTCATTGTGATCGCCTTTTCACCTATGTGGAAGTCTGTAACTACTTATTACTGCTGATGTTGTGATCGATAATGATAATAATAATAATAATTAATAACAATAATAGTGATAGTGATAATAATAATTAATAATATAATAATAATAATAATAATAATAATAATAATAATAATAATAATAATAATAATAATAATAATAATAATAATAATAATAATTAATAATAATAATAATAATAATAATAATAATAA